TCTCCAACATATCCATCTGCAAGAAACTGTGCTTTCATTTTATTAATTGCTCTGGTGGGCTACACGTTATTTTTTTTGTTGCCCAGAGAGTACTCTGTTTGTGCTTCATGCTACACTGGTCACAATAATAGTTATTTTGTTAATGTTAAAGGTTATTAGCCTTCTTCCTTTGCTTTGCTATGCATATTCCATACCCAATAAACTATTAATGCTTCCCTAGGGGCTTGACAGTTTCACTTAAGTTAGTCTGGTCAGGACCCCCTATCCCTGTGTTGCTTCTTTGTCTTCTTATGAACATTCTTGAGACCAGCCAGTTATGGGTCATTAGCAGGATGCCGTAGACTAGAGGCAGTATCTAAAGCTTAAACCAAAACAAAACATAGCAAAATGAGAGCAGAGAACTAATTTTAACATTTGTTAAGTCAACAGTTGTTTTAAATTCACATAATTCACACAATCCCAAATAAAAATATTTGCTAATTTGAAAAGACACATGCTCTTAATTTGTAATTTGTCCTAAATCAGTTTTCTCCAATTGATAGAGCTTTAGATAAATAGTGGGGTTGCTCTCCTAATGCCTCCACTAGACTGATTTTAACAGGCTGGTCACTGAGACTGAAAAGAGTGTGATAGAGGGAAAGGAATAAAGAAAACAGTGTAGTAAGAAAAGTGGCAAAGAGAATAAAATAAACATAATAGTACATAATCGCCACATTTTCTTTTGTAGTAGAATGTTAATTGATTTGTTTTATTTTTAAAATAAAGTAGAATATATGTGTGAATTTTCATGCTTGAAGCAATCTGTTTAGAATTTAAAACATCATAACTTGAAAGAAATAAATTGAATTTGGTATTCAGTCCAAAAAATCATGCATTCAACTTTTTTTCATGGTGTTAAAAAAAATAAGAGAAAAGGTTTAGATACAACTATAGTTGATAAAGGGTAAGGACATGACAATAAATACTTACGAATTTGACAAGGTCAAGCACATCAGAACATAAGTTACATATTTATGTTAGCCAGTCATGTAGAATTTCAGCATGGAACAGAAGAATAAAGTAGCCGTCTATCTATTACCAAAATCTTCTAAATGAGTATCAAAATATCAAAACAAAACTGAAATATCCCAAATGATTTTTATAGCAAAAGTTAAATATTACATACAGAGAAAGGAATGCATGTTTATAATAATCTATCCCTTTTATAGTATCTAATGTTCTTGTCTACTGGCTGAAGAAGAAAAAATAAATCAAAGGAATAAACAACAGCAAAAGTCATAACATATTTACTGGAAGTACCATGTCATTGGGAATCTTTCAGTATCTTTACTACTTTTGGACCTTGCATATGTTCACTTATAATACCATTGATGAATCTTTAAAATGTCATCATCATAATAATCCTTCTATTGCCTATTACAAGCTAATATGTGTGTGTATATATATACATATATATGCACAGGAATATGTTTTTAAACAAACTGCTTAAAACAAGTCTGCACAGTGAATCAGTGCAATAGAAAAGCATATAAAAAGCAAGTGACTATATACTATCACTTCATTTTTACCTTGGGTACCTATTGAAAGGTTGCTCCAAAATGCTGAAGACAAGAAGTACTGTTTATTACATTTTGCCAAATATTGTCAATGGAAATAAACCAAACAAATTAACTTCTTAAAAATAAGCTCTGGTATACATTTCATTGGCTACTATCAAGAGGAGGAAAGAAATGATTTATAGCTATAAAAGAGAAGATTGTCAGTGCTCTGTGTCCTGTCCCTAATTTCACCCAGTTCATTTTCAGCTTAGCTAAAGAGGAGGGCAATTTAGCCCTCAGCCTCCATCACTGTGGCTGGAGTCGCAGCTGGCAGACCTGAGTACTAATCAAAATTGCCCTTTGTGAGATTTTGCTTCTTAAAGTCTGTGATGGTTACATGGGCTTCTAATATGTAATTTCTGCTTTCTAACCCAAGTTTACCTGCCCCAAACAATTGAGTTAATCCTCAGTGAACATTTCAGACCTGAAAGAGACATCAGAGAGATTCTAGTCAGTCCCTGTATTTCACAGATGAGGAAAAGGAGTGTTAATGCTATTTGTTATGTAAATTGCTTAAGAACAACATGAGTTTAGGAATCTGTTTCTGGGTTAGTAAAAAGCTTCTGATCATCTAGCTGACAGAATAATAAATATGCTATCATATATGTATAAACTCTCTAGAAGCATTCAACACACTCCCATGCAATCCATTAAATTTCATCTTATCACTCTGAACTTTCTAAGAAGGTCAGCAAGCATCAGCATCTCAACCGACCCCAATAAAGATAAAAGGAATGTTTGGGGTCAAATTGGAAGAAATTCAGGCAGAATGGAAGAGTGAGGATGAGGTGAGGAGTCTGTTTGATGTACTCTGGGGACATTTACTGGCTCCCCACTATGTTCCAGGCACCACAGCTCTCAAGATGAAAGACATAGTTTCCATTCTTCAGGAGCTGGTGGTCTGTCGGGGGGAGGAAGATATGAAAAAGAGAGCCACACAGGCTGCTTTGGGCTCAGGGGGAGTGGAAACATGGCCTGTAAAATCACACCTAAGTTTGACAGAGGAGGATCATTTCTTGCTGGGCCCAGAAGGATGAGTTTGAGGTCACCAGTAGGACAGGGCTAAGTACCTTTATCATTAGGGACACTACATACAACGGCAAGTACTAGGGAGACTGAGGGGGTGATAGGAGCTTCATAAAAAGTTTCACGAGGGCTTTTCAACAATGCTTGATGGAGACTGAGAGTAGAAGATGGAGGCATCACAAGACCAGAAACCAGAGGTGTGGGTAGAAATGATTAACAGAGTTGTTAAACCAGCTGTAGAAATGAAAAATGCTTTGGTGTCTACTGCTATAGGGAGTATCAGACTGCTATAGACAGTGTTCCAAGGCGCAGACCAGAGATGGAGATATGGAGATTGAGTGCCATTGTTAAGAATCAAGGGTCCTTACATATCAACCTAGTCACACCCTAGAAGTAATTAATTTAACAATAGATACCAATTCCACAAAGGAATGAACTCCAAAAAAAATCACAGTATCAGTATATTTTCTACTCTGGCAAGATGCAGTTCTTGTCCAAAGTCAGCCCGCCTGTGTCTATGCAGGCATCTTTTCTAGCAGGCCTGTTCCCTCTCACAGGCAGCAATTCCAGGCCCTTGTGTCTGTGCAAGTGTCTTCTTCTCCCTTCCATTTTTTAAATTTTTATAATATACCTGCCTTTTTGGATATAACTAAACTTCTCTGTCTCATGGGGAAACTCGCCAGTGCCGCTGAAAGGGGACCTCTGGTGAAATTTTCTCAGTGGTAACCCAAGAATCCGGTTCTCTGAACCCAATACACCTCCAGACTGACATCAAAGCCCTTCAACTACTCTCTGCTCTGATCTCCAGCATTACTTTTCATCACAAACTATAAATACCAAGAAAGCTTGGTAACATGTATGTTAGATGAAGCACAGTGAGAGCACAGCAGAAAAATAGACTTAGCAAGTTCAAGGAAGTAGAAGACTAAAACCACACAGTGATATAAAAATTGGGGTGTTGTCTATAAGAATGACTAGCAATGCAAGTAACATTTCATTATGCTTGGATTATTGGTTTTTTTTTCTTTTAAAGATTTATCCATCTATGCACACAAGAGCTGGGGTACAGGACAGAGATGCAGGGGGCATGAGAGGATTCACGAGAGACAGAGCGGGAAACGAACAGGCAGACGGACTGAAATGCACTGCTGAAGGGAGCAGCAGGCGAGTCAGGAGAGGTCTGCTGTGCCCTGTGGGATGCTTCCCGGCCACCTGGGGATCGAACTCATGCTACAGAGGCTGCAGATTGCTTCATAGTGCGGTTCTCAACTCCTTGTGCCACCGGGGAGGCCCACACTTTGATTATTGTATGTACCCTCCCTATCTTTTATATTTTCCCTCTCTAATACAAGCAACATTTACATTGTGGCTAATGATGATCTATGTCTTTTCCCAAAACAGTTGAATAACACATCACCTTGGGCCTAGAGACAATGCTTTGCTCCAGGAGGGAGAAGGGGTGACTGAAGAGGGAATCAGCGGCCTGCAGAAAATGCTGAAGAAAGAATGAGTTGCCATATTCAGATGCACGGAGAAAATATTTCTCCTTCTCTCTCTAATGTAATACATGTTCCTACTCACCCACATTGCTTTTACCCTTACCCCCGGAAAAGCCTAGCTTAATAATTTTCTGCCACCTTTCAAAGGCCCCATAAGACCAGTTCACTTCCTCTGTCAGATTGCTCTCAACTCACAAAGTTCTTTGGAAAAAATGTGAAAAGTGCACATCTCATTAAGTGGGCAGAAGGCAATTCAAGCAGAGTCAGCGGAAGGAAACAGGATCAGGCACTACATAAATTAATATTATGAAAGGAGGAAATTTCCCTGTTCTTGTTAAACAGCATTCTGGATTTGCATAGAAAATCCAGTGTTGAAATCCTTTAAATTTTAGCAGCACTGTTTCTTGTCCATGCCATTGTTTTCTCCCTAGAAAAGGAGGCAAGAAAAACTTGAGGAGGGCATTTTGGGGTGCCTAGAGGTGGGTGTGCTTGAAAAGAAATCGTGAAAGGGCTTAAGTCTATTCATTTCGTCCTTTCATTTTGGTCTAAATGGAAGGACAGCGATAATGCCAGTGCCCAGGCCAGGGGAGCTGGCAGAGTGACTGGTCTCTGAGTGCAGCTGAAGCCTTTCATGGGGACAGCT